CTCATTTCCACGGGGCGGGGGGTGGGGGTGGCTGCTGGCGCCTGTGTGGCTCACCTCCTCTGCCCTAGGAGTGGTGGAATGGCAGCAGGGAGCCTCCTTCTGGACGCTGGGATTGGCTTACCTCCTCTGTCCTAGGAGTGAGCGGTGGAATGGTGGTGGGGAGCCTCCTCCTAGCTGCTGGGATTGGGTCACCTACTCTTCATCAACTTTTTATAGATGTGTGCATACAGTAAAGTACAAGCTGTAAGTGCACAGTTCATGAATGCCCCTCAGTGACTACTCCTGTGTGAGGTGAGTGCTTGACATTTCTGGGGATGCTTCTCAAGCTGGTCTCTGCAGAGGGGCTCTCAGGCAATGTTCCTTGGCTCTGAAGCATAACTAACAGTGCACAACAGGGTACATGTAACAGGGTACATGGTTTTAGGGCATGTGAGAACTCTGAACCTTGCGGCCTATGAACAGCTTACTCAGAACTTGGCCATGGGGAGCCCAAGGGCTAAACTGGCCTCTAACCAGGAGAGACAGAAATAGAAATCCAGCCAGGTCACTGAAGAGGTTAAGAACCATGGAGTCAGTCAGAGTCAGGGAACCAGCCAACTCCCTCAGCTTTCAACAGTGGTTTTCCTACAGAAAACTGGTGATCCACGAACCCTAAACTCTTCAGAGTGGTGCCGCCAAGTTTTGATCAATGGGCACACTGATTTGCTGTAACCTATGCTGCCATGGCAATGCCTGTCAGGAAGAAAGCTTAGGTGGTGTAGCACAGAGGAAGCTTACACATGCTGCAAATTATGTGTAAGAGGCACTGCCTACACCCAGGTCCATGTCACAGAAAGATGACATACAGATTTGTGAATAGTTGCCCAGTCCTCTGAGCACACATGAGGCAAGCAGAACAGTACAGTTCTTCTCAGACTGTGCAAGATCATCCTTGAGGGGCGGCCAAGTGATGAACAGTTCAGTAACTCTATGATGCTTTGGCGGACTTCAGGAGATGCAATCACACGCTGGTAATGGTTTTGTATGTATGTGGTTTTAATAATTTTTTATTTCTTTAACAGCTTAAGATTTACTAAAAAGTTGCAGACAGGACAGAGTGCTCTCATATATCAGTTTTCCCTACTTATTAACAGCTTATACTTATTATCCAATACTTACCACAGTTAATGAATCAATATTTTTACATTGTCAAGTAAAGTCTATATTTTATTCAGATTTTCTTAATTTTTAACCTAATGCCCTTTTTCTGTCCCAGAAGTTCATCAAGAGTACCACATTACATTAGGTCAGATCTTCTGAGGCCGTTCTTAGCCGACAGTTTCTCTTCTCAGATTTTCCTGATTTTTGGTAACCTCAATAGTTTTTTTGGTATTGAGGATCAAACTTAGAACCTTGCACTTTCGAGGCAGGCACAGTGGTGCCACTGAGCTAAACCCCCAACATAACCTCAACAGTTTTGAAGGGTACTGTTGAGGCATTTTATAGAACATCCTTTAATTGGGATTTGTCTAATTAATGTGTTTTAATTATTGCTAATATATTTAGGATGGTTAGTTCCTTCAAACATTTCATCAAAAAGCCTGAATTGGGAAATATGTCATACATCTGTTTGTAAACCTCTAGGTCTACATCAAAGCAGAATATGAATGTATCCACAAGTCAAAATGGTGAGGATGCTTATTGCACCATCTGAACTTCAATTTCAAAAAGCCAAGTAGGTTTTTGACCTTCCCACAGTGTTTGGGTAGCAATCTCTATCTGTAAACTGTGTATTACTCAAAATATCCCACGTCATCAGCCACCTGCCCTCATTCCCTAGCTCTCACCAAGGCAGACAACAGCTGTTTACCCAAAGGTTACCACAGTAATGACTCATCTCAAGATAAAAGGGAAAGTTAAGGGGCTGGGAATGTAGCTCAGTGGTAGAGGTCATGCTTAGCATGTCTGAGGCTCTGGGTTAATTCCCAGCACCAAGAAAAGAAAAAAAAAGGGGGCCAGGGATTTAGCTCAGTGGTTCCACCACCTGCCTCGCAAGAGCAAGGTCCCAAGTTCAATCCCCGTTACCAAAAAACCCCCCTAAAACCCAAACAAGCAAGCAAAAAGAAAAGAAAAGAATAGGAAAGTTAAACTAAGCATAATAAAATTCTAAGTTGTCCTATAATTTTCAAAAGAAAATAGTTCAAAAGTATAAGCAGAAACAATAAACTTTCAATGAAATATTTTCCTCTTTGTTTTTCAAATGAATAAAGCCCAAATTAGGGGACAGAAAGAAATGTATCCTATTAATTTATAATGCCTGGTCCCACAGAAGCATTCCAGTTACAGGAAGCTATGGTAGACTTTCTAGTAATTAAATCTGGACAAATTAATGGACTTAATCAAAACACCTTTAAGAGTTCACTGGGTCTTTTTCCTGAGGTGGGGTCTTGCTGTGTAGTCCAGGTGGTCCTTGAACTCACCAGGTAGCCGAGGCGGGCTTCAAATTCATAGCAGTCTTCTGGCCTCAGTCTCCAGGTGCTGGGGTTACTGGCATGCACCACCATACCTTGCTACTCTGGTCTAAATAATGAGTGGAGTCCTTTAATGACTAGTAGCTTTGGAGCACTAAACATTATTGACAATGCTGGAAATGGTACAAGATTTAGCTCAGTATAGAAGACAATATCCAATATGTCTTCTGGATCTCAAAATTAAAATATTTGTAGGGCCAGGATTTAGTTCAGTGTCACCTTGCCTGCCTTGCAAGTACAAGGTCCTGTGTTCGATCCCTGGTACCCAAATAAATACATAAATAAATAAATAAAAATAAGTATTTGTATTGTAATATGGGCTGATCTGTGGATATGTTCTGTGAACCAAAACATACTCACCGTGTTGGCCAGCTCTAGGTAGTGTCCTCCTACAGAGCTGCCAAAATGTGGGGACTGTGTGAGCAGTTTGTGGAGAGCAGCTTGCTGATGCAAAGAGCTTCCGCCATACTCCAGCAGCTTCTGTAGGGCCGACTGAGTCTGCAAATCTGGGCTCTGGAGGTCCCTGGCACCAGAGTCATATTCCCAGCTCTCCCTGGCTGCTGATAAGGCACCTAGGTCCAGGAGAAGCAAGGAAAATAAAGAGACATTTCCATCATTAGCCTGTGGGTGGCCAATAGGCAGTGATTTGGAACTTCCTAACTCTTCCATGTGCCAGCAGCTTAGAACACATGTGGCACCCAGGCTGCCTGCTAAGCACTTTCCCCTTCAAACTGACACATGGGGAGCTTGGAGATAAAAGCAATTTTATGCAGAGAATTTAGAAATAACTATCCAATGAATATGTGTCCCTAAAACAGAAATGCTTAGCAAAAATGCAATGGAGAGTCAAGTAAAAGGAATCTAGGCCAGAGCTACATCTGTCTGTGATTTACACAGGGCTTTTGTTTCCCAAATGTGGAAAAAGGAAACAAGGAAGAGGACAAAAGTTAAGGCATGACAGACACTTTATCATGACTTTCTCATGTCAGTGTATTCACACCTGGAAGCAGCTAGACTGTATTTTACAGTTAGGTACAGCTGGGCAGCTGAGTTCTGGGCCATAAAATGTGAACACAACTGAGAAGCATCACTTCCAGCCTTTCTCGTACCAGGGTACGGCTCCCCATGCCCTTGCCTTCTGGCCTGGTTCAGATGACAGTGGCACCCTTGAAAGCCACTACAGATGGTGAAGCCATGAGGTGCAAGACACCTGGATCCTGAATCATCTCCTGAGGGGACCTGTCTGTTTATCCAGAGTACTCCATTTTGATTTTATGTGAGTAGGAAAGAGACTTCTATTGTGTTTGATGCAACATATATTTTTGCTTTGCTAATTAAAAGTTAGCAGATTATAACCTAATAAAAGGTGTTAGTAATTATAGTACAATGGTAAAGCATAATGAGAAAGTAGTCAGAGGAAGCATATGTACCTAATGCAGCCCACCTAGAGAGGGATAGGCAATGTTTTGTTTTTTGATTTTTTGGGTTTTTTTGGTACCGGGGATTGAACTCGGGTTCTTGCGCTTGCACAGCAGGCGATGAAACCACTGAGCTAAATCCCCAGGCCAATAGGCAATGTTTAACAAAACTTCCTGGAGAAGAAAGCCTGATGCTTCAGTTGTCACCTTGTCTAGAAAAGTTAGATGTAGGGAAAAGACTGCTTCGTTGTGTTGTTCATTTCTGAACAGAAATCTCTTGTGGATGCATGTGGTTGGTGGACCTTGAGTCATGTGCCTCTGCCCTAGCTACAGTGGAGACTGGGAAATTCGGTTTTCTGGTTTCTACTTTGGGGAGGTAGGACTTGCAAGGTGAGTCATTTCCTAAACAGAGAGAGTGTTCAGAAAGCCTGGGCAGCCAGACAACATGCGGACAAAGGTCCACATGGGCACAGTAGTACCTACTAGAGACACAGCAGAAGGCATGATAAATTATAGCCCCTGCCTGAGGGGTTTCCTTCTGATAGGTCTTTAATACATGACTTTTTTTTGGTACCCAGCATCGAACTCGAGTCCTTGCACTTGCGCAGCAGGAGGCGAAACCACTGAGCTAAATCCCCGGCCCTAATACATGACTTTTAATGACAAAAAGGAGACTCATTATTCAATTTGTACACTGAAATGAGAATGTACACACTGTGATTGAAAAACATAATGAATGTTTAAATTTTTTTAAAAATTTGTTATAGGGCTGGGGATTTAGCTCAGTGGTTCTGTCACTTGCCTTGCAAGCGCAAGGACCTGAGTTCGATCCCTGGTACCAACAAAAAAAAACTGTTATAGTAAAAATCATTGTAATTAATTCCCCTCAAAATACTCCCTCTTGTGTCAATCACACTTATCCCATCATCCTTGCCACTTTTGGAAGTAGTTCTAGAAGTCCTTTTTGTGGTTTTAGCTGTGTTGTTATAGCTGTGTCAATGCCCTGAATGGATTCAAACGTTTCCCTTTTGTGGCCATTTTGCTTTGGGGAAGAGGTGGAAGTCAAGTGGTGATAGATCCTATGAATAAGGTGGATTAGGACACACTCATGTTTTTATGAGCCTGGCTTTGTGTTGAATGGCTCTCAACAGCAGCATTCACCATATTTTTTATCACACCTTGTGAAGACATTCATGAGAGAAGACTTCCAGAGCTGCTTCAGAAAATAGCAAGAACAATGGGGTAAGTGTGTTTGAAGTGAGGGGAAATATTTTAAGAAGGATTAATAATAAGGTGTCTTAATGTAATAAACTTTTGTATTTAAACATATCATGTGTTTTGATCAGTCCTTATATACAGATTATTCCACAGTTTACTTGAATATAATACATACAACAAACTACAAATTGTGTACAGTTCTGATGTGGATGTCCAATTTCTTTCTAGAGGGTACTGATGAATTTAATCAATATGACTAGGCAGACTATCTTCGCATGATTTCTCCCTAACTATTCATGCTCTGCTTATATGTCTGATCCAACATTTTTTTATAGGTGCTATATAGGTGGGGTACATCAGCTGCTTTGTTTCAAAGCAAACAATTTTGTCACCATGCTGGTAGTTGATCAAAGTTTATTTTCATGCAAAATCTATCAATTGTACAGCAAAAGAGGCTTTGCTTTCTTTCACACAAACTACAAAATGACTGTCTTCCCTCCCCTACTTTTCTGAGTGCTCTGTTATCTACTTAGCTGCCTGAGCTCCACCGTCCTGGCCCAGCAACATGTGTCAAAAAGACAGACTAAGGTTAGAGTTGAAACATGGGTCCTCTATGATGGACTGAATCTCAGGTTGTCTCTGTTTCACACAGAAGACAAGTTGACACAGTGTTAGCCTTTGCCTCTTATGTTCACACAGTATCTCCAGCACTGCATATATGCCCTGTGACATATAAGGTATTTAATAAACATGTATTGAATAGAGTACTGAATTAGGCACAGTTGTACTACACTAGGTTCTCACTTTTAAACCTGGAAAAGCAAAATGGCAACTACTTTTTAAAAATAGTTAAAATTAATTATACACTTACACTTTTTCTTGATACAAACAGAAAGCCCCATTTTCAAATAACAACATACAGTAAGACTTTAACTGGGATAAGACAGAAAAAAAAAGATTTGTTTGAAATTTATTATGTCATATTAATAGACCTAAACCCAGTTTCTGGCAGAATTATATAATCAGGTTAGCCAGGCTCCTTATTAATCAGCAAGATTAAAAGCCCCTCCTATTATTAGCATAACAATTTTTTCTGAAATTATGTTGAGAAACTCAGATTTTTTGCTAAGAAGTAAGTTAATCATATAAAACCCACATAATACTACTAACATAAATGGAACAATATAAAGGAAGTACAATTTTTTAAATGTATAATAGACTATTCCCTTACTATCCTTTCGTCTGTCTTCATATCAGATTGTTCTAGATAAAAACCAATTCCTGAGACAAAAACTAGTCATATAGTTGGAATGATCCCACAGAAAATTTTTGAAGATATAGGTCTGATACCCATCTTCCTTTTGCCTTTTGGAGCATGATGGTATCTGCGGTTTGAAGTTCTTGGCAGGCTCTGCTCAGCCCCCTGATGAAGGCTAGGTTCCATGACTTTTCAGATGCATTTCCCCTGCAACAGCTTTGGGAGGTAATGAGAATGGGATCATCAGTTTACTCCTTCAAATCTTTCATTAAATCTGTAGTGACAGGTGAGGAAAAGGCTCTTTTATCCTCTCTAGAGTCTGTGTTTGCATATTAACATGAATGCTCTTGCCCTACTTAATACTCAAAAGAAGCTTTGTAATTACACCATTAGGCTGCAATTTTCTAGGTTCTGTGTGGGGGTGTGTGCGTGTGTGTGTGTGTGTGTGTGTGTGTATAACATGCACGCGAGCTGCTGGGGGTCAAACCCAGGGCCTAATGCATACTAGGCACGTACTCTACCACTGAGCTACATTACCTTCCTTAATATTTTTTATGAAAGCTGTAAGTGAAAGAAATATTAAGAGTAAGATTATGATTTAGGCTTTACTTGACATCTGCACATCAGGTCAATTGTCTCATGAACTTTCTTGTAAGACATCTGTACATGTAAAAAGCCTATTCACCTCAGGAAAATGCTGTGATTTCTTTTCCTTAACAAGGACACCTACCTGCACAGTTTCACTGTTCCTCCTGCTCATGAGGCTCTAGCCAGGTGGTTGTCTTTAAGACCCTCTAACATGACTACTACAATGCTCAGGCCTTCCACATGCTGCTTTTGTGCTCCAAATGCTCTTTCCTACTTCTTTGCTTGGCTCACTTCTCAGACTTCCTGGAGTTCCCAAATGACAAAACCATTGTTACGTGTGTGCTCAGCACTCTATTCCCTCTCATTCCAGAAACAGGAAGGCTTGGGGATCACAAGCACTGCCATTGGCTTTAGGTTTTCTGAATCTAAGTCCCAGCTATGCCTATGTGATCTTGGACAAGGTGATAATGAGAAGGGTAACTATATTTACCACAAAGGATAGTTGTGAAAATGAAAAGAAAGAAAAAAAGATTGCAAAGTTCAAATATCTCTCCACATGATCTCTCAATACCACCCAATGTGAAGTTCCTTTCTTTTCCTCCAAGCTTACAAAAATACATGGATTAATAATAAGCAAACATAAGTTGACCCACAGATATCCATGAAATTGACAACCTGTGAAAGGCCGCTTGAATATCCCATCTGGCCTAGATCATCACCCTGGGATTCTTAACACTGATCAGTCTATAAATGGTTAGGGCCACTGTAGCTGTCTGTGCTGGTCACCTAGCAAAATGCATGAGGCAACTTAGAAATGATGTGATTTTTTTTTTACTACCATATGAAAATATCACTTGACACAGCCACATGCACAGAACTGTTTTCTACAGTAACTAAAGCGGGCAAGTGGAGAATTTTTTAGTCACTTTTTCCTGCCAGGAGGGTATAAAGACAACTAACAAGGGTCATTTTTAGGCACTAACTCCTTTGTAACCACTGTTCCATTGCCCATTGGGAGTATCTGAGGTTTGTAAATATAATTCTGTTGGTTAGAATAAGCTTGATTATGTTCCAGTAACAACAAAAACAT